TGGATTACATGCCAAACACGATACGACACCAAACATCTCTGTCTTGAGCTCGATGTACCATCTCGGCGACCGTTAAGCCAGTGAGTTCCTTTAATTTGTCCACGAAGACTATGTTCATAGTATATATCATTTTATTCACGATTGAACGTACACAGTATGTATTACATGCCAAACACGACACCAAACATCTCTGTCTTGAGCTCGATGTACCATCTCGGCGACCGTTAAGCCAGTGAGTTCCTTTAATTGGTCCACGAAGACTATGTTCATATAGTATATATCATTTTATTCACGATCGAACGTTGTGGCCCACCGTATGGATTACATGCCAAACACGATACGACACCAAACATCTCTGTCTTGAGCTCGATGTACCATCTCGGCGACCGTTAAGCCAGTGAGTTCCTTTAATTGGTCCACGAAGACTATGTTCATATAGTATATATCATTTTATTCACGATCGAACGTTGTGGCCCACCGTATGGATTACATGCCAAACACGATACGACACCAAACATCTCTGTCTTGAGCTCGATGTACCATCTCGGCGACCGTTAAGCCAGTGAGTTCCTTTAATTGGTCCACGAAGACTATGTTCATATAGTATATATCATTTTATTCACGATCGAACGTTGTGGCCCACCGTATGGATTACATGCCAAACACGATACGACACCAAACATCTCTGTCTTGAGCTCGATGTACCATCTCGGCGACCGTTAAGCCAGTGAGTTCCTTTAATTTGTCCACGAAGACTATGTTCATATAGTATATATCATTTTATTCACGATTGAACGTACAAAGTATGTATTACATGCCAAACACGATACGACACCAAACATCTCTGTCTTGAGCTCGATGTACCATCTCGGCGACCGTTAAGCCAGTGAGTTCCTTTAATTGGTCCACGAAGACTATGTTCATATAGTATATATCATTTTATTCACGATCGAACGTTGTGGCCCACCGTATGGATTACATGCCAAACACGATACGACACCAAACATCTCTGTCTTGAGCTCGATGTACCATCTCGGCGACCGTTAAGCCAGTGAGTTCCTTTAATTGGTCCACGAAGACTATGTTCATAGTATATATCATTTTATTCACGATTGAACGTACACAGTATGTATTACATGCCAAACACGACACCAAACATCTCTGTCTTGAGCTCGATGTACCATCTCGGCGACCGTTAAACCAGTGAGTTCCTTTAATTGGTCCACGAAGACTATGTTCATAGTATATATCATTTTATTCACGATTGAACGTACACAGTATGTATTACATGCCAAACACGATACGACACCAAACATCTCTGTCTTGAGCTCGATGTACCATCTCGGCGACCGTTAAGCCAGTGAGTTCCTTTAATTGGTCCACGAAGACTATGTTCATATAGTATATATCATTTTATTCACGATTGAACGTACACAGTATGTATTACATGCCAAACACGACACCAAACATCTCTGTCTTGAGCTCGATGTACCATCTCGGCGACCGTTAAGCCAGTGAGTTCCTTTAATTGGTTCACGAAGACTATGTTCATATAGTATATATCATTTTATTCACGATTGAACGTACACAGTATGGATTACATGCCAAACACGATACGACACCAAACATCTCTGTCTTGAGCTCGATGTACCATCTCGGCGACCGTTAAGCCAGTGAGTTCCTTTAATTGGTCCACGAAGACTATGTTCATATAGTATATATCATTTTATTCACGATCGAACGTTGTGGCCCACCGTATGGATTACATGCCAAACACGATACGACACCAAACATCTCTGTCTTGAGCTCGATGTACCATCTCGGCGACCGTTAAGCCAGTGAGTTCCTTTAATTTGTCCACGAAGACTATGTTCATATAGTATATATCATTTTATTCACGATTGAACGTACACAGTATGTATTACATGCCAAACACGACACCAAACATCTCTGTCTTGAGCTCGATGTACCATCTCGGCGACCGTTAAGCCAGTGAGTTCCTTTAATTGGTCCACGAAGACTATGTTCATAGTATATATCATTTTATTCACGATTGAACGTACACAGTATGTATTACATGCCAAACACGATACGACACCAAACATCTCTGTCTTGAGCTCGATGTACCATCTCGGCGACCGTTAAACCAGTGAGTTCCTTTAATTGGTTCACGAAGACTATGTTCATATAGTATATATCATTTTATTCACGATTGAACGTACACAGTATGTATTACATGCCAAACACGATACGACACCAAACATCTCTGTCTTGAGCTCGATGTACCATCTCGGCGACCGTTAAGCCAGTGAGTTCCTTTAATTGGTCCACGAAGACTATGTTCATATAGTATATATCATTTTATTCACGATCGAACGTTGTGGCCCACCGTATGGATTACATGCCAAACACGATACGACACCAAACATCTCTGTCTTGAGCTCGATGTACCATCTCGGCGACCGTTAAGCCAGTGAGTTCCTTTAATTGGTCCACGAAGACTATGTTCATATAGTATATATCATTTTATTCACGATCGAACGTTGTGGCCCACCGTATGGATTACATGCCAAACACGATACGACACCAAACATCTCTGTCTTGAGCTCGATGTACCATCTCGGCGACCGTTAAGCCAGTGAGTTCCTTTAATTGGTCCACGAAGACTATGTTCATAGTATATATCATTTTATTCACGATTGAACGTACACAGTATGTATTACATGCCAAACACGATACGACACCAAACATCTCTGTCTTGAGCTCGATGTACCATCTCGGCGACTGTTAAGCCAGTGAGGTTCTTTAATTGGTCCACGAAGACTATGTTCATAGTATATATCATTTTATTCACGATTGAACGTACACAGTATGTATTACATGCCAAACACGACACCAAACATCTCTGTCTTGAGCTCGATGTACCATCTCGGCGACCGTTAAGCCAGTGAGGTTCTTTAATTGGTCCACGAAGACTATGTTCATAGTATATATCATTTTATTCACGATTGAACGTACACAGTATGTATTACATGCCAAACACGACACCAAACATCTCTGTCTTGAGCTCGATGTACCATCTCGGCGACCGTTAAGCCAGTGAGGTTCTTTAATTGGTCCACGAAGACTATGTTCATAGTATATATCATTTTATTCACGATTGAACGTACACAGTATGTATTACATGCCAAACACGACACCAAACATCTCTGTCTTGAGCTCGATGTACCATCTCGGCGACCGTTAAGCCAGTGAGGTTCTTTAATTGGTCCACGAAGACTATGTTCATAGTATATATCATTTTATTCACGATTGAACGTACACAGTATGTATTACATGCCAAACACGACACCAAACATCTGTGTCTTGAGCTCGATGTACCATCTCGGCGACCGTTAAACCAGTGAGTTCCTTTAATTGGTCCACGAAGACTATGTTCATATAGTATATATCATTTTATTCACGATCGAACGTTGTGGCCCACCGTATGGATTACATGCCAAACACGATACGACACCAAACATCTCTGTCTTGAGCTCGATGTACCATCTCGGCGACCGTTAAGCCAGTGAGTTCCTTTAATTTGTCCACGAAGACTATGTTCATATAGTATATATCATTTTATTCACGATTGAACGTACACAGTATGTATTACATGCCAAACACGATACGACACCAAACATCTCTGTCTTGAGCTCGATGTACCATCTCGGCGACCGTTAAGCCAGTGAGTTCCTTTAATTGGTCCACGAAGACTATGTTCATATAGTATATATCATTTTATTCACGATCGAACGTTGTGGCCCACCGTATGGATTACATGCCAAACACGATACGACACCAAACATCTCTGTCTTGAGCTCGATGTACCATCTCGGCGACCGTTAAGCCAGTGAGTTCCTTTAATTGGTCCACGAAGACTATGTTCATATAGTATATATCATTTTATTCACGATTGAACGTTGTGGCCCACAGTATGTATTACATGCCAAACACGATACGACACCAAACATCTCTGTCTTGAGCTCGATGTACCATCTCGGCGACCGTTAAGCCAGTGAGTTCCTTTAATCGGTCCACGAAGACTATGTTCATATAGTATATATCATTTTATTCACGATTGAACGTACACAGTATGTATTACATGCCAAACACGATACGACACCAAACATCTCTGTCTTGAGCTCGATGTACCATCTCGGCGGCGACCGTTAAGCCAGTGAGTTCCTTTAATTGGTCCGCGAAGACTATGTTCATAGTATATATCATTTTATTCACGATCGAACGTTGTGGCCCACTGTATGTATTACATCCCAAACACGACGCCAGCCATCTCTGTCTTGAGCTCGATGTACCATCTCGGCGACCGCTAAGCCAGTGAGTTCCTTTAATTGGTCCACGAAGACTATGTTCATAGTATATATCATTTTATTCACGATCGAACGTTGTGGCCCACTGTATGTATTACATCCCAAACACGACGCCAGCCATCTCTGTCTTGAGCTCGATGTACCATCTCGGCGACCGCTAAGCCAGTGAGTTCCTTTAATTGGTCCGCGAAGACTATGTTCATAGTATATATCATTTTATTCACGATCGAACGTTGTGGCCCACCGTATGGATTACATGCCAAACACGATACGACACCAGCCATCTCTGTCTTGAACTCGATGTACCATCTCGACGACCGTTAAGCCAGTGAGTTCCTTTAATTGGTCCACGAAGCGTGTCGGCGGGCGTCCAGGTATGTGTCGCCCATACATCTTTCCAGTCTGTATGATTTCCCTGTGTCGCGAGATATGACCGAAGAATCTCAAACAATTCCGTTGTACAGAAGTCGGTCATCTTCCGAAATCAATAGTTGTGATTGTATCGATGTCCTACACGCTGTCCAAGGTATAACTACACACATACAATTTTAAAATATCGTTCTACAATCATAGGCGCCATTATATTGTATAAAAATCACTTTATATAATATTTACGAACGGAAAAATATGGCCAGGGTAGCCTAGTGGATATGGCATCTGCATCTGCCCCGTAAGCGAAACACTGTGGGTTCAATTCCCATCCCTGGAAACCTTTATTTTTCCGTTTATCATTACTTTTCAAAATTCAACAACAACAACAAAGCCTTTATTTAGGGCCTCTCGCCCTATACAGGATTCGCCAGTTCACAAGGAATGGGGAGACACTGTGTGGCCTTTTTCCGGGATATAATCCTGTGGAATCCAAATATCGCCAACGCTACTTTTCACAATTCATCCTTTCATACTTCATCCTTTAAGTTTAGAAATAATCGTTATTTCTCCTTTAAAAATAAATTTCGATTTTTCGTTCATAAGAAACACATGCGGGATATTTTCAAATGTCGTTCTACACACATACAAATATTATTTTAAAAAATAGAATTCCTGTCTAGGGTGTCAGCTTTCTTCTTGGCAAACTGCCTTCTTTCGATATCGGTACAAAGATTCATTATGAATATTTGAAACATCTGGCTTGTGTTAACACGGAACTTTTTGATTCTTTGCCAAGTCCTTTATCGGGGTGCCTATTTATGAAGGAAAGTTAATTATACAAAGTCTCTACATCACATGGATATTGTCGACAATTTAATTTTCCAGTACATTAGGTTATACGAGGTTGCGAGGTAGGTATAGATAACCTATTCTCTCTATCACCATAATTAAAAAACTTGGACAATATACACTCTCTCTCTCATAGACAAAACTTAAGGAAGTTGTACCTTTAAGCATGTATATCTGGATTCAGACAATAACTCTGAAAGATATTACAGTGACCTTTATTGAAGACACACTCATGGACAAAACTTAAGGAAGTTGTACCTTTAAGCATGTATATCTGGATTCAGACAATAACTCTGAAAGATATTACAGTGACCTTTATTGAAGACACACTCATGGACAAAACTTAAGGAAGTTGTACCTTTTAACATGTATATCTGGATTCAGACAATAACTCTGAAAGATATTACAGTGACCTTTATTGAAGACACACTCATAGACAAAACTTAAGGAAGTTGTACCTTTAAGCATGTATATCTGGATTCAGACAATAACTCTGAAAGATATTACAGTGACCTTTATTGAAGACACACTCATGGACAAAACTTAAGGAAGTTGTACCTTTTAACATGTATATCTGGATTCAGACAATAACTCTGAAAGATATTACAGTGACCTTTATTGAAGACACACTCATGGACAAAACTTAAGGAAGTTGTACCTTTTAACATGTATATCTGGATTCAGACAATAACTCTGAAAGATATTACAGTGACCTTTATTGAAGACACACTCATGGACAAAACTTAAGGAAGTTGTACCTTCAAGCATGTAAATCTGGATTCAGACAATAACTCTGAAAGATATTACAGTGACCTTTATTGAAGACACACTCATGGACAAAACTTAAGGAAGTTGTACCTTCAAGCATGTATATCTGGATTCAGACAATAACTCTGAAAGATATTACAGTGACCTTTATTGAAGACACACTCATGGACAAAACTTAAGGAAGTTGTGCCTTTTAGCATGTATATCTGGATTCAGACAATAACTCTGAAAGATATTACAGTGACCTTTATTGAAGACACACTCATGGACAAAACTTAAGGAAGTTGTGCCTTTTAGCATGTATATCTGGATTCAGACAATAACTCTGAAAGATATTACAGTGACCTTTATTGAAGAAATACTCATGGACAAAACTTAAGGAAGTTGTACCTTTAAGCATGTATATCTGGATTCAGACAATAACTCTGAATAATATTACAGTGACCTTTATTGAAGACACACTCATGGACAAAACTTAAGGAAGTTGTACCTTCAAGCATGTATATCTGGATTCAGACAATAACTCTGAAAGATATTACAGTGACCTTTATTGAAGACACAATCATGGACAAAACTTAAGGAAGTTGTACCTTTTAGCATGTATATCTGGATTCAGACAATAACTCTGAAAGATATTACAGTGACCTTTATTGAAGAAATACTCATGGACAAAACTTAAGGAAGTTGTACCTTTAAGCATGTATATCTGGATTCGGACAATGACTCTGAAAGATATTACAGTGACCTTTATTGAAAAAATACTCATGGATAAAACTTAAGGAAGTTGTACCTTTAAGCATGTATATCTGGATTTAGACAATAACTCTGAAAGATATTACAGTGACCTTTATTGAAGACACACTCATGGACAAAGCTTAAGGAAGCTGTACCTTTTAGCATGTATATCGGGATTCAGACAATAACTCTGAAAGATATTACAGTGACCTTTATTGAAGACACACTCATGGACAAAACTTAAGGAAGTTGTACCTTCAAGCATGTATATCTGGATTCAGACAATAACTCTGAAAGATATTACAGTGACCTTTATTGAAGACACACTCATGGACAAAACTTAAGGAAGTTGTGCCTTTTAGCATGTATATCTGGATTCAGACAATAACTCTGAAAGATATTACAGTGACCTTTATTGAAGACACACTCATGGACAAAACTTTAGGAAGTTGTGCCTTTTAGCATGTATATCTGGATTCAGACAATAACTCTGAAAGATATTACAGTGACCTTTATTGAAGACACACTCATGGACAAAACTTAAGGAAGTTGTACCTTCAAGCATGTATATCTGGATTCAGACAATAACTCTGAAAGATATTACAGTGACCTTTATTGAAGACACAATCATGGACAAAACTTAAGGAAGTTGTACCTTTTAGCATGTATATCTGGATTCAGACAATAACTCTGAAAGATATTACAGAGACCTTTATTGAAGAAATACTCATGGACAAAACTTAAGGAAGTTGTACCTTTAAGCATGTATATCTGGATTCGGACAATAACTCTGAAAGATATTACAGTGACCTTTATTGAAAAAATACTCATGGATAAAACTTAAGGAAGTTGTACCTTTAAGCATGTATATCTGGATTTAGACAATAACTCTGAAAGATATTACAGTGACCTTTATTGAAGACACACTCATGGACAAAGCTTAAGGAAGCTGTACCTTTTAGCATGTATATCGGGATTCAGACAATAACTCTGAAAGATATTACAGTGACCTTTATTGAAGACACACTCATGGACAAAACTTAAGGAAGTTGTACCTTCAAGCATGTATATCTGGATTCAGACAATAACTCTGAAAGATATTACAGTGACCTTTATTGAAGACACACTCATGGACAAAACTTAAGGAAGTTGTGCCTTTTAGCATGTATATCTGGATTCAGACAATAACTCTGAAAGATATTACAGTGACCTTTATTGAAGACACACTCATGGACAAAACTTAAGGAAGTTGTACCTTCAAGCATGTATATCTGGATTCAGACAATAACTCTGAAAGATATTACAGTGACCTTTATTGAAGACACAATCATGGACAAAACTTAAGGAAGTTGTACCTTTTAGCATGTATATCTGGATTCAGACAATAACTCTGAAAGATATTACAGTGACCTTTATTGAAGAAATACTCATGGACAAAACTTAAGGAAGTTGTACCTTTAAGCATGTATATCTGGATTCGGACAATAACTCTGAAAGATATTACAGTGACCTTTATTGAAAAAATACTCATGGATAAAACTTAAGGAAGTTGTACCTTTAAGCATGTATATCTGGATTTAGACAATAACTCTGAAAGATATTACAGTGACCTTTATTGAAGACACACTCATGGACAAAGCTTAAGGAAGCTGTACCTTTTAGCATGTATATCGGGATTCAGACAATAACTCTGAAAGATATTACAGTGACCTTTATTGAAGACACACTCATGGACAAAACTTAAGGAAGTTGTACCTTCAAGCATGTATATCTGGATTCAGACAATAACTCTGAAAGATATTACAGTGACCTTTATTGAAGACACACTCATGGACAAAACTTAAGGAAGTTGTGCCTTTTAGCATGTATATCTGGATTCAGACAATAACTCTGAAAGATATTACAGTGACCTTTATTGAAGACACACTCATGGACAAAACTTAAGGAAGTTGTGTCTTTTAGCATGTATATCTGGATTCAGACAATAACTCTGAAAGATATTACAGTGACCTTTATTGAAGACACACTCATGGACAAAACTTAAGGAAGTTGTACCTTCAAGCATGTATATCTGGATTCAGACAATAACTCTGAAAGATATTACAGTGACCTTTATTGAAGACACACTCATGGACAAAACTTAAGGAAGTTGTGCCTTTTAGCATGTATATCTGGATTCAGACAATAACTCTGAAAGATATTACAGTGACCTTTATTGAAGAAATACTCATGGACAAAACTTAAGGAAGTTGTACCTTTAAGCATGTATATCTGGATTCGGACAACAACTCTGAATGATATTACAGTGACCTTTATTGAAGACACAATAATGGACAAAACTTAAGGAAGTTGTACCTTTTAGCATGTATATCTGGATTCAGACAATAACTCTGAAAGATATTACAGTGACCTTTATTGAAGAAATACTCATGGACAAAACTTAAGGAAGTTGTACCTTTAAGCATGTATATCTGGATTCAGACAATAACTCTGAAAGATATTACAGTGACCTTTATTGAAGACACACTCATGGACAAAACTTAAGGAAGTTGTACCTTCAAGCATGTATATCTGGATTCAGACAATAACTCTGAAAGATATTACAGTGACCTTTATTGAAGACACAATCATGGACAAAACTTAAGGAAGTTGTACCTTTTAGCATGTATATCTGGATTCAGACAATAACTCTGAAAGATATTACAGTGACCTTTATTGAAGACACACTCATGGACAAAACTTAAGGAAGTTGTACCTTTTAACATGTATATCTGGATTCAGACAATAACTCTGAAAGATATTACAGTGACCTTTATTGAAGACACACTCATGGACAAAACTTAAGGAAGTTGTACCTTTTAACATGTATATCTGGATTCAGACAATAACTCTGAAAGATATTACAGTGACCTTTATTGAAGACACACTCATGGACAAAACTTAAGGAAGTTGTACCTTCAAGCATGTAAATCTGGATTCAGACAA